TAGTGCAGGTTTGTGCTTTTAAAATGGTCATTTATAAAAATGAAAAAAATAAAGAAAATAAAGATCATTTGTGCTGCTGTTGTTTCAGACATATTAAAAATAATTTTTTAGGTCATCCAGAGGTCAACTATCCCCCCATTAAGCTCTGAATAGGATCGACATTATCTAGCCTACTTTTTCAGTGCCACTTCATTTGTGCAGGTAAATCTATTGTTTGTGCTAATTTTGTTTTTAAGATGGTTGATGAGGTCACCATCCCAGCAGACGTTAGTGCTCCGCTGTTGTAATATAAAGTTATTGCATAACATCACATGTCATTCCTGTGCTGGTACTGAATATAACAGTGGGCACGTTGACTTTATTTAGTGGCTGGAATTATTGTTTAATATTTTGTACCAGTAGACCTGCCGTTACCCCTGGCAACTCCATATAAGCGTTGTGATTTCATAGAAAATTTCAGCTGGTCTTAATTTCAGCGATCACCACTCAGCTCTCTCCATGCAGTGCTGCTGTTTTACATCACCTAGGCTCTATCTAGCTGCACGAGGTGAGATCGGAGCAGTGAAGGCCCTCACACATGCAGTTCACATAGTAATTCTATGTGAATCCATGTTTGCCACAGCCAATGCACCCAGTCTAAATGCACTATAAAAACATAACCTCCTTGGTGGAGGTGATAAAGCATATCCAGAAAAGAACACTGACCCTATTGTGAAATATAGAGGAGGCTCTGTTATGTTGTGGGTCTTCTATGGGCCCTGAGCTAAATCCTACTAAGCATCAGTGGAAGGAGCTGAAACATGCAGTTTGGAAAAAGTAGCCTTAAAACCTTAGACAACTGGAGCAGTTTGCTGATCAGGGTGAATCTAAAAACCTGCTGAGAGGAGGAGTAGTGTCACTAAGAGTTGCAGGAATTATTTGATTGCAGTGATGCCTCAAAAGGTTGTGTAATAAAAGATTAAGTTAAGGGAATACCATAAGTTTTGTCCAACTCTGTTTCCTGAGTTTATTATTTTAAATCCTTCTGTTGAATTATTTAATGACAATATAGTTTGTCTAAGTCTAAGTGAAGCATGGCTGAAAAGCAATATTTGACATTCATTTGTTTATTTTTCCTATAATTTTTATTTGTTATTACTTTTGCCATTGTATGTTTTTCTTTAACTAAATGAGGGGTACCAGATTTCCACATGGGATATTTCTAATTAAAAACATGGTGATTCACCACAATCAAAACTACCAGCCCAATTCATTCAGTTTATTATAATATTAGATAAAAAAAAACACATTCACATATTTATCATAAACAAAGGAAATAATTTATTAATAGTTGGAATTAAGATTTAATCACTAAACTGAGATCTAAGTATTTAGGTTCTTCTAAAGCAAAAGCAACACACTTGAAAATTAATAATATCTATTCATTTAAAAATGTACATGAATAGATATTATTAATACACATGGCAATACTTGCATATTGTTTGAACATATAGAAACCCCTGACCACCTATTCCTTCTTTGTGGAACTGTAAAAAAGCTTCTGTAGAGATTTGCAGATGTGGGTATTTGATACATTTTCATCATTTCATCATTCCAAAGAAATTCTTTATTATTTATTTTTCTAACCAGGGTATTTAATCACTCATATTTTTTTATTTCCCTACTAACTTTATTCTTTTTATAGAATAACTGTTATTTCTTTAAAATCTTAATATGTAAGGATTTAATGTTATTATACTTTTCCGACCTTTTCTGGGTTTTTTTTTTTTTGTTTGTTGTTTTTTTTTTTTTTTTTTTTTTTTTTTTTTTTATGTTAAAATATGTTAATATGTTGTTTACAAAAAGAAATATTGAAAAATATTGCAGTTATATCCCCCAAACGCCAGAGGTCACTGTAGTACCGTTAATGTAAAAATCTGTTCATGTGTCGTTTACAAAGACAAAAAAATTATATTGCAGTAATATCCCCCAAACGCCAGAGGTCGCTGTGGTCCTTCGTGTTCGGTCATTTTGATGAAGGCGCTAAAACGTGCGGAAGCTCTAAGGTAAAGAAGTAAACATACAATGGGGTTCGAAAACGAGAAAATCGACCCAGATTTATCCGAAGCAGATGGAAATATCAGCTTTTCTGAAGTCACCACCGTCGCCTCGGAGATGATGCTTGACTTCCTGTTTGTGACTTTGTGTCGAAACTTCAAAGCAGGAAACTTTGATGAGTTCAATGAAACTCTGTTAGTTTTTAAGGGTGAGTAATTCCTCAAAATCCATTGGAAAGCGGTTAAAAATATAATTGTGCTGTGCCTGCAAGAAGTCTAAAAAAATGTTTAAAAAAATAAAACTATTTTAGTGCGTGTTTTGCTATACATTGTGCCGTATATTGAGTAGTTTTTATGTTCTGTGTAGAAAATGTGTGCCTGTTATTTTAAATGCAGGATTTACAAAATACTGTATAATAAATCCTGTTCTTAACTCCTTAGATAATATTTATATTTTTGCCCTTTTAGCTCTTTCTGAGTGTGAATCTCTTCAAGCTGCAGTCAATGATGAGAGGTCCATGATTTGTGCATTTTTAGCAAGAGTCATGCATGGAAAGCAACTGGGTGAGTTTAAAACTATACTAATAGTTATTTCTGGTTAAAATGTGGATTTTTTTTTTTTATCTCAGCGGGCTTTTTTATGGTTTTGTTGCTTGAGGAACTTTGTAAAAGTTTTCTTTTTTTAAGGTTTTCCATTGCCCATACTGTTTGGGAATTAATTTGATGTTTTTTTATTTCTTTTTTTCCTAGATGTCTTGTTTGAGGAAGATGAGTCTGTAATGCCCCTCATGTCTGCTGCCACAGTTTGGGCAAATTTACAGCACACTGTGGGAGATGAAGATTTATTCAAACGCATCAATGTTCACCTGTTGGTCCAGGTAATTTTCCATCTTTTTAGGGTTTGCTCTCAGTTCACATCACTGCCTCTGTGACTAAACACATTTAAAGAAATAGATATGTCTAATTATCATTCCTAATTTGAGATTAAAGTAGAAATGCACCTTGCTCTAGGCTGTGGCTGCCTGGTTGGAAAACGGCCGGATATCTTCAGCCTCCTCTGTCATCAAGTGGTTTGAAAAAAGAAACAAATTCCCTCAGGTCTGTTTATTGTTTCTCGTGAACTTCTTTTTAAAATATTGTTTAGAGATTTTGTTCCTTTTCTTTTTCACTTTGTATCCTAACATAACTTTTTGTTCCCTTGTCTTTACTGATTCCTGACAACAACGTCAACTGAAACAGAATTTGAGAGTCAAGCTCTCAGTTATTGTCAAAAAGATGGAAACGCACCACCCATTCCTCATGAGCCACAGCTATGACCACCTGCGTGAGACAATACAGTCCTTCTTGGATAATTACCTAAAAAAGAATCCGTCTGACTTCCTCGTCAAGGTTGGATGTTCATGAAACTTAGTGCTTTGTGTAAAATGAGATCTCTGTGTTTACCCCCCTAAGCTTTGTCTACCCCGATTCTTACCTGAGAATCATCATCCATAAAAATAACCCTAAGATTTTGATGTCATGTGTATTCCAACTCTGACTGTTGGAGTAAATCCTACAGGGAAATCTGGCATAAAGTACAAATGTGAACAGCTGCTCAAATTTTCACCAATTCTGATGTTTATGTGGGAAATTGACCTGAAGCAGAAAACATGTCAACAAATGAAACTGATTTAAGCTTGTATATTTGGAGGTTTTTATTGTGAAGAAAACAAACAGCTTCATCAAGCTTCACATTACATTTTAATCAGATTTGCTTCACTGGAGGGAAGGAAAGCAATATTTCAGAAGGCAAAGCACCTGATTTACCCTCATAAATTAATAATTCCTTTAACAGAGGAGGTGGGAAATCCAACCCAAAAAGAAAGGACATTTCTTCATATAATTTATTTTGTATTTGTTCTTATTTCGTATGCAATATTATCATTACATTACTGTACTGCTGTTTTCCACAGCCACCGTGTCATTTTGATCCACAGAGGCTTAGACTTTCATTATTGTAATGATTATTGGGTTTCCTCTCTGTGTGGCGATCTCATACTGTGAGATTATTTTATTTCAGAGTTTGACTTTTTCTCCCATCAGTTGTTAAAACCTAAAAAGAATATTCTAGGCTTAGTGGAGCACATTTTGGACACTGAACAATATGTGCAGCCCTCCTGCTAATTTCAAAGTGTTTCAAAGTATCTGTGTTTTAGAGGTTGGACTTAAATTAGCTCAGAAATTTCCACCAAATGTCTCTGCTTCTCTTTGTGGTTATCAGCAAGTGTGTATTGCTAATTATCTTCAGAGTTCAGCTTCTTGTTAACATTATGTCAGAGAGGCCAAATCAAAATTAGTTTGCATTTTACTGGTTGAAGAAATCACTCAAACTAGTTAAATAAAGTCCTTCAAACTGTTAAAATAACAGCTTTAGCAGTATATAATAATACACAGCTTCACTTCTAATGAATGCTGCTTATCACCACAAATACCTGATGCCTGTTGTTAAGTACAGTGGTGGAGGGTTGATGATGTGGGCTTCATTTTCCGATTCTTTGATCTTGTTATAGCTAGAATTAACTGCCAGCCATTTTTATTATTTGAGGTTCTTTTTGTTTAACTTGCTATGCAGGTGATCAGACGTTGCTCCTGTAAGACAGGCCAACAACAACCTTACCGACTCCCGATTACAGAGGCGTGGGCCAGTTTCAGTTCAATTTGCATGTTTTCTAAGCAATAACAAGGCTTTTAATTTGGCTATTCAATAAGGCCTGACATTTTCAATTGAGAAAGCTTTCTGGTTGGGAAGCTAAACATCTTCAAAGTCCAGTTTTGTTTTTAAATTTCTTTGGAATGACTATGACCTGGATGACTGAGAATCTTCACCAGCATTTTTATTCAAATATTTCAGAAATTTGAGAGATTTATGTTACCCGTTAGATTTCTTTTAGTTCAACTTTGGATCATTTATTTAGCAAAAATACATTTTTTTTTATAGTTTTGAAGTAGATGGTAATATTAAAAAGTAATAATATTAGAACATTTATATATAGAATGATTCTGCCTATAATTCTAAACAAATACCCGCATCTAATGAATGTTTATCTCTCCATCAGGCAGCTACAAAGCTCGTCCAATCCTCCCAAAACAATAAGGATTCAAAGCCAGTCTTTGTGGAAAGCAGTGCCCTCCCAGGACAGCCCCATGAAATGGAAAAGAAGAATAAAAAGTAAGCATATGTGTTTTTTTTTGTTGTTGTTGTTTTTTTGTTTTTGTTGTTTTTTTTTTTGTTTTTTTTTGTTTTTTTACATTCAGTTGAAATCATCAAAGTTATTTTGACTTTAAACCATGGAGAGAATTAAGGGTAAATAGCAAGGAGGCCCTCCACCCTCAAAGGCTTGGATCTTATTGGAAGAAGTGGTCAGAAATAGCAGTGGAAAAATCTGAAGAAAAGAAATCTGCAACAAAACAAAGTTGTTTGTTGTAACACCAGTAACATTTGGTCTTAGTGTCGTCTTATAAAGGAATGTATTTATGTTTTCTTATGTTTTGGTAAAATATGGTGTCGTATATTTTCAGTCCCAGTCTGAACCAACTTGTTGCTTTAATAAAAGTAACTGAAAATCTGCATGTAGTATTAAAATGTTTAACCTTGCTTTGGTTATTTTGGTAAAAAAAAAAGTTACAAAGGAGTTCTTACTTTTGTAGTTTTTGTTCAGATCTTACTCAAGAAAAGTGAATTCTTAGTTTTATAAGCTTGATATGTTGTCAACTACAACTTATTTTGAAGCGTGTAGTAAAAATAAATTCTCTCTCACTTCCGCAGACCAAAACGCAAACTGTTCTCTACTAAGACTACTGACATGTGGATGCCTGATACCATGGCGACGCCCTGCGTTTCCCTCAGACGACTCTCCAGAAATGGTATCTCCTTCTCGTCTGTTGTCTTATAGCTTGTTTATCAAAAATTTGAAATATACATTCCCAGCATATTTTGTGACCAAAGCTAAAGATCTTTAAACTGTTCACCATCAGAGTTATGTCAACTGATGACAAGGTGTTTGGACACCCCCAAGTTAGAAAAGAATGAAAAACAGAAGAAAAGGAAAACACCTAAGGTATGTTAAATAAGAAAACTCAACCGGTTTCTAATTCATGGTTTCTAAAATAAAATTGCTTATTTGAATTAATCATTTAGAAGAAGGAAAATACATATACAGATTCTAAGTTGTCGTCCTGTCCTTTTTTTCCTATTTTTATTTTATTTTTTTAGAAATGGAATGCTCAGCTGGACAGATACCTTAAAGAGGGAGTCAGACGTCACGGACGGGGGAAATGGGCTCAAATCTTATTGGATTATGACTTTGAAGGACGCACTGGGACCATGCTGAAGGACCGCTGGAGAGTTCTGCTGAGGGCAAACAAAGTCGACTGAAAAGAAACGTGTCTCCTTCCTCTCATTTCTGCCTGTATGATGTAGCAGTTTGTATATAACAATCCCCCCACAGATCAAATATTTTTTGTTTTATTTTCTGAAGAGTTTCCCTCAAAGTTAAGCTGTTGTTGTATTTTTTTAAATATATGTATAAAAATGTGATAAATGTGAAAGATTGTTTTTGTTATATTTTGTTGCACATTGGCCTTTTAAACTGTAAAACTGCAAATTAAACCTGCTGCTCATTGCTGCCTCTAACTCTTTTACTATGTTCCACAAGGGGGCGCCAAAGACAAAATATTACAAACCTGGCTGTTATAACTATGCTGGAAATTTTAGATTTTTTTTTTTTTTTTTTTGGAGTTATTAAATAAAAAAGGAAAACTAAAATCTAGCTGTACAGTTGTTTTGATTCTAACATCTAGAGGAAATGCTTTATTCTTTGAGGTGATTTCTATGCTTTTCATTATGCAGATCTCAGTCTGTTGGAGAACATCCTTTGATGTTCTGAGCATTTAAATTCAGCGGCTGATCCGGGCTTGTGAAGGTCAGGTGAAGATGAAGTTGTGTTGTGTTGGACAAGTGCACTGTGGAGTTTTCTGGATCTTCCTCCATGTCCCTCTGCAGTGCGGGTTCCCCACTGCCTGCCAGTCAAGCAAAGTCTCTCTGCAACACAGTTACATGATAATTAGAACATTTCTGTCATTTGCTTTTGTCTATTAAGAGTTTCTGTCAAAAATGGTTGTACATTTATTTGCACAAATCCCTGAAATGGATGGTTATCTGCTTTTAGTTAATTCTTTTACGACTCATGATTCACAGGATGAATTAATTATACTGAATACAGTTTAATGTTTATTTTGATGTAGAAAAAAACAAAACAATTTCCTTCAAAAGCTTAGGGTTGTTTTTTGCTTTTTTTTATTAAGCCCACCCTCTAACAATATCAACATATTTCAACAATCTGTGTCAGATGACATGATCTTTGTTTGGCAGTTCAGAAATCCACCAATTAACATTAAACCTGTAAACTGGAAGCTGAGGAAATGCCAGTGTTACTCCACATTTGAGAGAAATAAAAAAGAAAGAAGCAGCTACTACAAAACAGACATCTTGGTAGCTGGAATTAGCACCGATGGATGAGTTAAAACACCTAGTGAGAGAGGCTTATGATCAGCCCACAAAGACTGAACTATTTTAAAACTAATAGCGTGAAGCAAGGTGGTGGTTGCATCATGCTGTGGAGCAAAAGTTAATCAAAAGCTGCACACGTCAAAGTGTTTTAACTGCACAAATGATCTTTTTATTGTGGGAGAAATAAAACAGGCTTCTACAGAGTATTTCAGTTTGGCTGTGACCTTGGCTCTACTGAAAAGATGTAAATTGGCTCAGTTCAAACTATTTAAATCATTTTTACCAGCCCTGCAAATAAATACCCAGATTTATTTTTTTTTTTTTTTATTATGCAGGGGATAAATGCTTATGGATATTTGAAACCATTATGAGAGATTGCTTTAGTATTGATTAATAGTTTGTATTTATGCATTTGATCCTTGGATTGATCAGAGGCGTAGCCAGAACATTTTTATAAGTGTGGCCAGGCACTAACCAATGTATACTGAGGGGTGGCCAAAAGTGGATAGGCACCAGAACCTCAGGTTCAATCTACACAGTTCAACTGGGAACAAACACAACGTCCACATTTCTAAATAAAGACAAACTATACTTTTTCTACAGCCTTTGCTAACAAATAGATGCATATATTTAAACATCCGTCTAGATAAAAGGTATAGTGGATCAAATTCTTAGAGGTTTGAGTTCTGGAGCAAACATCTTTTCCATCGTCATTACTTACCTTACTTTTATCAATATCATTCTACATTAAATTGATATTTACAAGTACTAATATCTACATAAATTGATAATTGAATAGGTTTTTATTAAAATAGTTATTTACAGTATCTATGATTTCACTGAAGACTGTTAGATGACTTGCAGGGACATTATTTTCTCTTTACCTCATATAACACAAAATCTAGTTCTGAGAGAGCCTGAATTCTGTACTAATCATCTCTAATGTTGGTATATTGATGTGCATAATTAACCACAGTGTTTTTGTTGTCAAGTAATTGTTTATATATATATAAAATTAAAATGTTTTGAATACTTCAGAGAAAAAAAAATGGTAGGGGTGGCCAATGATTGGCTAAGGGTGACCATGGCAACCCCTGCCCCCCCATCTAGCTCCGCCCCTGAGATTGATTGGATAAATAAAGTCAAAGCCCAGTTCTCTTGAAAGTTTGCAAATGTTTTTATCAATTCACCCTTCAAAATGATTGAGAGCCCAAAACTGGTACGACATTGCTGTCCATTTCTAGCCTGGGTGCCAGTCCGAACTTAGTCCCGCCCACAAGGTTTGAGTTCGGGGAAGTTCGGTCTGGCTCTGCACCATAGTAGCGCGAGTATTATCGCCCACTGTCAGGCGATCCAATCAAATTGTCAGGGCGGGCTTTATACGATGATGGACAGATGTTTAAGAGTAACGTAATCAACCACGTGACCAATGCGCGCTTGGGTGACAACAATAATGGCTGCCGCTGGAGAGTTTGGGTGAGTAGATTCTGCTATTAGGTCTGTTCTAGAAGATATCGACAGCAAATTAATTTTAAAAGCGGAACAGAGAAACGCGATCAAGTCTCATCTTCTTATTCTAGGCGTGAAACTGCACGCTTTGATTTTTGTGGACAACAACTATGCCTCGCTTAACATACGTCACGCACTCCGTTGCTCTTATTGGTTGTAGGTCTATCCAATTGAGTGCCGAGGCATTTTTTTTCCTGGTTCGTTCGAAACACGCCCCATAATCACAGCTCTATGGAGCAGTATCAGACTTATATTCTGACTAGAATTGAGTTGGACTACATCAGGCTAGTCCATTTCACCAGAACTGTATGTTTTCAATATGTCTGTAAAACCTAATGTATAAAAACACATGAAATAGTTTCCTACTTGTCGGATTCTTGGCCATCTCCCTGGCAGCTACTGTTTCGCAAGGCAGGTGGTTCACACGCCACACACACTTTAAAGCCTTCAGTTATGTAGCGCATCCAGTGTGTGTGAGGCCGGTTCTCCACTGTGCAGTGTGGCGTCCGGGACTCCAGTTTAAACTCCACACAGAACCTGATTGAAATCAGGGAAAAGGTCGTGGAAGATGCATAAAAAACATTCACATTAGGATAAAATAGGAAACAAATTTCTCTAACACGTGGTCAATGTGTAGTTGTGATAACATCCCTCTCCTTTACACAACCCTACCCTCACTGATAGCCCTTTCACACTGGTGAAGATTTAGTTTCTAAAGAACCGTCTCTCTGCACTGCTGTATAAATGTTATAATCTACAGCCAGTTGGGCAAACAATGATAACTCATTTCAATGAAACAAAGTTGATTTACATGTTTATATTACAGGATTAAATACTGCATCCATGAGAGTATTTAACTTCACATAGCTTGATTTAAAAGTCACCGTGAGTCATGAGTACTTTGAAGTTCGATGAAACTCACCCGGCCTCTAGGGGGTTTCCATAGCTGTCATGTTTGGGCCTTCTGTTGCCAAACTTCATGCTGGTGATGAATGCTGGGCCTTACAAGAGAAACTACTTCAGATTTGGTTTCACAGTTAACTCATTAATGGACTGTATAATACAGGACATAGAGATAACGTTAGTTTACACAAATTAGCCTTTCATGTTGCCTTATTAGGTAGATTTTAACAGTTTAATTAAATGTTCCTTTTTCAGAGTTGAATGGATAATCCAACAATCGAGTTCAATGTTTTAGAAAAGCAAGAGCTGTTTGTGCAAGTTTCATTTTATTATTGATTTTCTTTTATAGCATAAAACACAAACATCTAACAAGTTAGAGCTTCCAGTTGTGTCGAAGTTAAAACCAAACAGCTGATTGACGTAAAATCAAAGATTGACAAAGAGTCTATTTCTACATTCAGTCCAGCTAATGAAAACTTGTTTACGTGAACTTTGTTAAAAGAGAAAACAGATGACTTATATAAATATATACATAAGATTTCTCCTTCTTTAAAAAAAAAACTCTGCCATTTAGGCAGTGACGTGCGGTCAGGGGAGGCAGGTGAGGCAGTGCCTCACCAGCCATCATGGAAAGAAAGAAAATATATAATCATAAAGTAATTTAAATTGTTATATTCATCCGGTGGTTTGTACTAAAAAATATTCATTTTTCATGTAGCTTCACCAATTTCGATTTTTATTTGTTCAAAATCGCTGAATTTTCTTATTTTCCCATTCAAATGCTTGGAAGCGATGCCGGTGAGGCAGCAGCGAGCTCTGCCTCACCTTGGATTGCGCAACCCCTGGCTCTGCGCTGGCTGCAAAGCGGAGAGAGCATGTTGCTGTACGGCGTCAATAAAATGGTTTAAACAAATGTAATATGTGAACTTATTTCTAATAATTTGGCTTATGTATATAATGTACAGAGCTTTTTGTCACCAACTGTGTTTGTGTAACGTGTTTCGTGTAATGAGCGATTATAAACGGCAGAGAACAAGTTCGAGGTGAGGCAGGCAGTTCTCTTGCCTCATGGCAGGGGGTGCTCAAGAGACTGAAAACATAAGGCAGGAACAGGACGGATCAAGGAAGGCTTTCTTCCCTGGCAGTGATCTCCATTGAGACAGAGAGACTTTTAAAACTGAAGGAAGATAAGGAGGACTTCTATTCATTTATAAGTAAAGGTAAGACAGTAATAACATTTATTTTGTTTTGTTTTTTAAGGAAATGTGTGTTTTGTGAGCTACAGTTTGTATGTGTAAGGATGCAGAAGTGAAACATAACCTGTAAACTGCTGTCAATCTATGCATCTATTTGCAAATCTGATTCTGATGACGTCAGTGCCTCACCAGCTATGAACCTCACCGCACGTCACTGCATTTAGGTTTTAAAATTAAGGAAATAAAATGTGCCAAAAGAGCATAAACACATGCTTAAACAAACATTATGTAAGTTTTAACTGAAAAATGTCTATAATTAGCCTTTTAATTTACCCTTTACAGCTAAAACATTGTTTGATGAGCAGAAAGAGCCTGGTTCTGCCAGAGGCTTCTTCCCAATGGGGAGTTTTTTTCTCTCCACTGTCGCTCCATGCTTGCTCATCATGGACAGGTTCTCTCAACCTGTGTTATCCAACTGGACTTCCATCTTCCAGGTCCCTGACTGAAGCTCTAGTATCAGCTCACGCAGTCCACTGGATCTCCCCATAAAGCTCAGCAGACCGTCTCACTAACCAGCAGTCTACAGACTAACCAACTTCATCTATCTCCACTCCACCACAAGTTTCAGGCCTGGGGGGGAAATAGCTCTATTCTTTGCTCCTTTTCATGCAAATTAAGCACTATGTTTCCTGCCGAGGTCTGAGCGCCAAAGAAAAAGTAATTTTTTTAAATACATTTGTAATTGTCTTCTCTCTTTGTGTGAGTTTTTCAGATTGAATGTAGATTTGGTCAGCTGGCATCAATCCGAGTCATTGTGTTTATGTCACACGTGACTATTAGCTCCATAATCATTTTACGCAAACCACAAGGAAACAATTATATTATTATACTATTTAAATGTTTATTAACAGCTCTCCATCACACAAAGAACACAAGATCAAAAAGATAACACTCTAAAATACTATGGTTACATTAAACTGCATCAATAGATATGAAAATGCAGAGGCACCATGCTTTTACTTTGAGCTAAAGGCAGGGTGCCCTGCCTAAGGCTTGGGCTGCTCCTGATCTCTGAACCAACAGTGTCTCATAAGAAGGTATGATAGAAACGCTTAGATGTTTGATGATAGGACAAAATCTGGGGCTACAAAATCAAAATTATCATCACAGTTTTAGATCCAAACAAATATGGATCTGTGCTTTCGGCCATTCTCCCCTTTTTGCCATTTAAATGATTGGTGACCTGTCTCGGATGCACCCATCTCTCATACAACGTACGTTGAAGATAGAGAGCAGCCCTATTTGAAATAGTTGGGTTTTACCTAAAAGTCTGGTTTTTGCTTATTATTTTTTCAACTTAAATTTACTACAAATTCTATTAAGAGAACATCTGTCTATCAGTGTGGCATCTTGTTTATTGGTATAAATAAAACTTTACAGCTTGCATTTTAACTAAAATTTGTGGAAAAAAATCCACAATAAATTCAAGCCCAGTTTTTTGTTGTTGTTTTTTTTTGTAAAGAATTAAAGATATATTGTTAGTCATGCCAACAAAGAAATTATTTAAAAAAACATCACAAAGTCCAAAATTAACATGGGCAGTGAGGAAGATATGAAAATTCTTAATGTTGCTATACATACTTGTTGACAAAAAAAATCAAACAGCTGTAGACATAAAAGCAGGAAGCATTTTAAATGTGTTACATACCTGAGTGGAGTCCACAGTGGGTGCCCCTCTGGTCTCTGTACTCCCTGCACCCAGCTCTCTGCTCCAGCCAGGGACAGGGATCACCACTGTTACCGGGCTGCTGCTCTACGTGACGGACACGGACTCTGACTGATGGCTGACAGGGCTTGGCACAGCCACTCCAAAAGCTCCAGGCGCCCACAGCACAGTCCTGAGCTAAAATGTGGCCCCGACAGAATAGAAGAAAGTTATTCAGGCAGCAATAGGTCCAACCTCATTCAACCACAAAGGATTTTAGAGCAATGGAGCTAAATGTAAGTTGTAACATGTAGGTCACTCTATTACTAACTCCAATTTTTAGAATGATACAGTGTTTTGTTTTTTATGTTTTTTCTGTCTCTGCTACAAATAGGTTGATTGTGCAAAGTGAACACCAGTTCACTTTATGGTGCTTAATAATCAAGATTTCATGAATTATGTGGCTACTGGCCTCTAACTCATATTAAGTACGCTCAACTTGTTTGCCTGGAACTATAATTGCTGCAACTGATTGACAGAATCACATTCTTCAAATATTTGTCCTAATGCCATTATGTGGGCCAGTCCACAGAAATAAGGCTTGGCACAAAGACGGCTGAGGTATTTGGTGTACACATAAGATAAAGTAGAAAAATTACAGATACTGTTCAGGAGGAGTCATCGCTGCCAGAAGAGCTGGATCGGTAAAGATTAGATCAGGATAACCATTTTCCCTCTTCTTTTTACCGTTCAACAGTTTCAGAAGATAATCAGTTCCCTGGTTATCTCATTTTAGTCTCATAAATTTAAGCTTTTAATACTACAAAAGAGTCCTCTGTGATTCTTTCACCTAAAGACAGGTCTTCATCACTCACCGGGACACTCTGTAAAATAGTCAAAGCAACAGTCCTTGGCGTTGATGCAGTCTTCGTCGCAGTAGCACGTCCCGTACGTTCGGTCCATCCTCCAGTCAGTAGACGAACATCCCATGTTTCTGCCCCTGCAACACCTCCCAGAGCAGCCACTGGTCACCAGATGCTTCCGTCCAAGATAACACAACACCATCAACCAGTAAGCCACCTCTACAGAAGATCCCCTCATGATGGGAGTCAGAGCCAAAAGTCCAGTCTGGAATTGACACTTCTGCCCCTGTGGTTGGCTTAAGGTATGAAAGGCTGTAGTCTGTAAAACATACCTAATCCTGTTTTATTGCTGACAGGCTTCTAACTGTAAGAATTAAAAAGACTCAGCACTTCCTGTTTCTTTCCCCTGTGTCCAGGTGTTCAGGTCTGCAAAAACAGCCTACAGAATAAAGCATCCAAAAGTTCCTACAGCGACCACCCTTTCAGTCCTCATGCTGTATTTGCTTCGACTTCTTCTCAGAGCTGATTTACCTCTGGGTTTGCCAACCAAGTACCTCCCTGAAACAAGGGGAGGGGTGATCTCTTGGCTTTGGGTTTTTGTGTTCCGGCTCCAGTTTCTGTTCTTTTACCTTCTTTTTTACCTGCAATAGTTTTATCTGTTTGTCCCATCCCTTCCCTTCAGAGGAGCTGTAATCCTGACACCATTTAGTGTGCCATCGCTGATCTCCAAGTCCAAAAAGAAAGGAAGGAATGTGAACATTTGGCAAGTCCCCAAATAACTGTGCTGCAGGGTCCTCAGAGGACACTAAAGCCACTCTTCAGTTCTTACCTTTCTGCCCTTTTTGTCTCCCTCTTTTTTTCAGTGTTGTTCCACAAGAGCAGAGGAAGCTGAATTAAGCCAGCTGTTGTCTGGGTTTTTAGCTTTTAGAGATTTAGTTAATTTTTCTTTTCAAGAAAATAGTTAGCTGGCCAATGGTTATAATCTACCGAATCTAAACCCAAGAAATACCCTAACTTCTATTTTTATTGTATATCATCAGTACTGAGCACGTAATATGATCTTTTTATTTTTATTTCACATTGTAACTGCATCAAATGACTAAAGTGCAATCAAATATCTATGTATTTCATGATGCATCCATGTTTAGTTCATATGTTTTGGGATAAATTGTTAAAAATGTTTCAGGTTAAAATGGGCTTTGGCCTAAAAGTTACCATCTCGTGATTTTTTTTCCATTTTGCAAACCTAACGATCAACTGACCATCTTGGGCTGATAGTTTAATGCTCAACATAAAGTTTATGAGCATCTTTCAGGGAGTGATGCTTAAGTTTTTATAAACTCTTTAATAAACAAATTTTTGTTATAATCTTGATATAGTTATTTGATGTACAAATGAGAGATATGCGGGTCCTTTAGTTCAACCTCATTTTAAGCTGGCTGCTGGAGTTACAATAATAGCTTTCAACTTCATCATAGTCTTCACCAGGTGCACACAGCACGTGTCGGAACCAGTGAATATAAAATATTTAGTGAACTCAACCTGAACTGATATCCGATGGAAGAATCATGTGCTTTTCATTTGGATGACAAGCAACACAGCTACCAAAGTGTTTTGTTCTCTTGGCTTTAATGTAGAATCCTTTTACCCACACTTGCATGAGTACAGCTTGGTTCAGTCATAGTGCTGATTTGATCTCCATTGATCCGAGGAGGGAAGTTGCATAAGTTTGCATGGTGGAGGTGCAACATCAAAGCATTTGTGTTTTACATCTGACGGATTCCTAACCCTGTACCTCCTGCCCCCGGAGTGTATTTGTCTGAGATAATCAGCCTAATCATTATAACACACCCAAGTACTACGTCTTCTTGGTGTGTCTCAGCAGGAAGAACCGTATGAATGTCTCTCAAGATGTCAAACATTAATGGCATTGTGCTCTTGTGCTGATTGGCAGAATGTACCTGAGAATGAGACAAAGAGTGAGATCGATTGTATTCTGTCAAGGGTGGACCTTCACTTCTTAGATAACGCATCCCAGAAAGGGCATTGTAACTCTTCATCGCATCTCTGTGGGGAATACAATCTGAAACTCTTTAGTTGCTTTTAAAACATATGTTGAGAAACTAAAGAGGTCATCTCATCAACATGACCCGTGTTGTAAAGCTACGTTGCTAATGTCAGGTCTGAAATAGATTGTTCCCAACCATTAACATAAACCCAGATTTGAACCCAATTTTGGTCTAAAGAGTCAAAATGGTTATTGTAGCTTTCTGTATTATATAGCTTACAGCACTGTACATATGCTTGTAAAACGTCAGGTATTGGTAATGTAAAAGACTGAAACCACAATATGTCAAAAAATTATAACAACACTTTAATATCCTATCCTAGCTTCTCTTCATTTGCTTAGAGATAGCTTTGAGATCAGATTTTTCCTTATGCTCCTAGGAGAGCATTCACTCTCAATCTGCAGGTTTACTAGTGGTTCCTAGAATTTCTAAAAGTAGAATGGGAGGCAGATCTTTTAGTTATCAGGCTCCTCTCCTGTGGAACCAACTACCAGTTTTAGTCCCTGAGGCAGACACCCTGTCTACTTTTAAGGCTAGGCTTTAGACAGCTTGCAAATACTTTGCTTGACATTTCCACCTTAATGGAAACTATGAAAATGTCGAGGGAGTATAGAGAGTTGAACTAGAGCTACTTACTCTGGTTATTTCTTCAAATGTACTGTTTGACATTTCCAAATGTGAGCTCTTTCATTTTGTGTAATGAAGAGTTCATGCATTTTGCTACATGTATTTAACTAGCATTTTTGTGTGGTTATTTTTCTGCAAATCTGTAATCTGGGATTTGTTTGGCATCGGCTATTAGTGTTTGCGTCCCGTAATGATGTATGAGTTAAAGTGTAGGAGGTGTAATGCTACGTTCAGACTGCACACGCTAGAGGCAGTGGCAGCAGCTAGTTTACATGCAATGGTTGACACGTGTCTAGGTTTAGCAAAAGGTCCTGCAGCACGTTTTGAGCAGCAGGAGCAGCACGTCTGAGCAGCTGAGGCAGTGTGTCATGAGCTACAGCATCTGACGCACGTGACGTGCTGCGAAAGCGGCAGCTGCTGGAATTGGAAAAATTTAACTTTTGCTGCTGGATGCATAAACCAATCAGAAAAGCTGATCAAGGAGCTGCCAGGGAGACGTACACAGCACTGCTGATGCAGATCGCTATGATCCTCCTCCTATTAAGGCCTAAATTAACTTAGAATGTCGAAACCTGCCAGCAAAATATAATCGCTTTGATTATTCTGATGCCTGCAGTTTGGATTACGTAAGTGAAAATTACTTTCCAGCCCCCGCGAACATTTGCAGAAAATCACGAAGAGGCAACCAGGCCAGAGGCTGCTGTTCAAGGGGTTTTCCAGGGACAAAGCACCACCGTACAACTGCTCAGGCCGTCAGTGAACGGAGGTCTGAGAGGCTCGGAGAGCGAAATTATATTTGAAGGCAGGATCGTCATCTTGTAAACTGACAGGACAGATTAAGTTTTCAGGTGGACTTTCTCACTTGAAAACATATTAAAACTACTTTTTACCCACTTATAACAGCAAAGCCAATCTGGCATTGAACACAGGAGAAGCAGAAGCAGCACACGTATCTGGACACACTTTACTGGATGAGCTTCAGGAGCATCAAAGATGCTCTTGACGTACGTCTGACCTTAATGTGTACAAGTATCAAAAATGAAGCAGCAGAAGCTTTTTTGCTGCTTCCAGCACTTGCAGTCTGAACTTGGCATTAGGTATTGGCACAGCAGGCCAGACTTCCTCTCCTACTGATAAAAGAGTTCTTGACCCCCCGAAAGTTTGAAGGAACAGAAACTAGGGTTATAATTAGACCTTTTCGGAAAAGCCAGGGACTAATTATCCTGTTAAGGGAACATGACTGTTCACCTCCAAGAGGAAAATATGTTACAATTAAATAACGGGCAATCAGATTCTGACTTAAACCTTTAGATCTCTCTTAGAAGGCTGCAGATGAAGAACGTTTGTACTTTTTCAGTAGTCCAGTGAGTACAAATTAAGAAAGGAATTGTAGTGGCCTAACCTGAACCAAGAACTACATTTCAAACACAATTTATGTGGTCATTTAGGGGAAGGGGTTTACACCTAATTGAAGAAAATGAAGACCTAATTAGATTTATGAGGTACAGTGGACACATATTACCAAACAAAGATGTTACATACATGTTGACAGGCATAGAAAATGATTTGTTTTATTTTTAGTTGAATCTGTTTGATAAATCTTTATTTCATGTGAAAAAGTTACAAGTTGTTTTTTTTTAACCTCATTAAACCCTGGCATGTTGACAGCCATGCATGCCTTAGAGAGCCTCTAAAATCCATATTTACTACTTGTGGAGCTGGAAGAGTTTATATGCAGTAGATGTGGTTTGCAAAACCTTATGGGAACAGAATTTATCTTTCTGACAGGCTGTTATATGTAAATGACAGAACCAGATGTGTCACTGGTGCCTGAGTCATTGATTTAGGAGTTAAGAAGTGAATTTGTTTAAACTGGCTTAAAACATCAATGACTTTGTGATGCGGAAGGAACGGTGTTTAAAATGCATTTCAACAGCCATTAAGACTTACATCATGATGCTCAGGGAGTCTTGGTCGTTGCCCACCGCTCACAGCTCTGCCTATCATCTTAAAGCATATTGTACAGACACGAAATCCTCCTTTATTCCCTACAGGGAGTTTATCAGTCAAGGAAAATATAACATGCCTCTCTGGGCACCAAACAGCAGGGGGGGCTGGTTATATTCCAGTCTCGAATCCCCTGACTTGCTTGACCTTGGAACAGTGCCACCAAGGCAAGAAGTAAGAAGGTGATGCTGATGAAGGTTTTCCCCTCACCCAAAGCTGACATCATCACTGATAATCATCAAATCATCTGTGACCTCCCTTTGCATACACTTCTATATGTATGCAAATCAAGTAGGTATATAGGGTGACATGTGTGGGCGTGGACCTCTGCCTCACAGAGTGATGAAACTACATGTAATGATGATGATGACTGCCAGAACGGGGAGCATCTATCATGGCCCGTTTCAGAAATCGTCTCATGAAATGATAAAGAGCAGTGGAAAGGTTAGGTCCCTAGACAGTTGTGTGTGCATGTTTTTAACTGCTCTGCCAAAAGCAAAGTGAATAAATACCACAAACTGCAAATGCTATACACCTGAAACCTGCTCTGAAAGATCTCTCTTGAGGAAATTAATTTATATTGTTGTCAAACTTTAAATTTCCTATTTGCAAACTTCATATTTAAGTGCATATGTGTGTGTTTATAATGTTTAAGATATTACATTATAGATGGGGAAATGTATTTCTTCCTTTCGATTTGACAGTTTTATCCACAAAACTGAAGAGAGTAATACCTTATGATCAGTGACGTGCGGTGAGGTTCATAGCTGGTGAGGCACTGACGTCATCAGAATCAGATTTGCAAATAGATGCATAGATTGACAGCAGTTTACAGGTTATGTTTCACTTCTGCATCCTTACACATACAAACTGTAGCTCACAAAACACACATTTCCTTAAAAAACAAAACAAAATAAATGTTATTACTGTCTTACCTTTACTTATAAATGAATAGAAGTCCTCCTTATCTTCCTTCAGTTTTAAAAGTCTCTCTGTCTCAATGGAGATCACTGCCAGGGAAGAAA